AGCAGACTCACCAAACTGTTTATCTCCCTTCAGGTTCTTATCCAGATCCCTATTGATAGCCCTGAAGAGCCCAGATAGTGTGTCTTAGATACTAACTCACTTTCCCTCATTTCACTTTTGCCACATTTAATCAGAAACCTCTTGTTCCTTCTGTCAATCCGTGCAGTTTGACTAGATCTACTCTATCCAGACTCCCCATTGGTTCCTAACGTTCATAAATATACGCCTGTGCATTACAGGAATTGACAAAAAGCTCGGAAATCAGTCAGAAGAAGGTTTGATTCAGAACTTCCTTTGAACAGGAAGGGGGCAGAGCAGGAAGGACAGAAACCGTCAAAGGTACAAACTGGAACTTGGTCAGATGTGGGTAGAGTTAGCAATAGTCTTTTATTCCACAACATAGAGGCTAGAGGTAGTTCAGCTGAGAATTTGTGTCTAACAATAGTCAAGTAGCACCCAATCAGTTCTGGATTCCTGATTCAAGTTCCCGCTGAATATCCACCTCCAGTTGAGTAAAGAATGAACACCTAATTGACCACCACATGCCCAGAAGTGGCCTTTTTTTAATGGCAGAGGCCTAGTATTGAATGCCATATCCCAACCATCACCTCACACTCGCCTGACATCCCTGCACACAGCAGCACTAGGACCATGTGGCCACTTGCCCAGGATCGGCCAGTTATGTCCTAAATACATCAGAGTGGCATCATTTAAGATCAAGAAACGTTTTAACAAGAAAAGGCCCAACAAGTCCACTCTGTTCTTTGCTGGAATCTGCCCCATGAATCATAGAATCCGTGCAGTGCAGAGGCCATTTGAGTCTGCACCAACCATCTGAAGAGAATCCCAGCCTATCCCCATAACCCTGCACTTTCTATGACTAACCCACCCAGCCTGCACATCCTTGTGCACTATGGGCAGTTCCCCATGGCCAATCCACCCTAACCTGCGCATCTTTGGACTGTGGGAGGAAACCAGAGCACCCGGAGGAAACCCATGCAAACACAGGGAGAACATGCAAACTCCACACAGACAGTCGCCCTGAGGCTGGAATCGAACCCGGGTCCCTGGTGCTGTGAGGCAGCAGTGCTAACCACTGAGCCACCCTGTGCCATGGAAACCAGTTCACCTAAGTCAACTCTTGGCACCTTCCTTCAAACTTCACTGAGGTCACTTTTGAAATCGCATTTTGTTTTTTTTTTCCCAAAGAGCCGGTATTTGTGAGAATGGCTGAATGTGCCACCAAGTACAATTTGTGCCCAGCAACAGGACTTTAATGGCTAACTCAGCAGATCACCGTGCCAGTATCGCTATGGTGATGTTCTCTCCATTCTTCAGTAGCCGTCCAGCGATACGTTAATATTTGGGGCAGGGCAGAAAGCAATGCAGACAAATTAATGAACCAGAAAATCACCTTTCTCATTCAGCAATCGAGATAAAGTGGAACATGGCCCTTACAGTGTGGTTTACTGACCCCAAGCTGGTCAGTCTTTGTAAATAGTCTGTCCCCCCTCTAAAGGAATAAGCAGCTTTCAGGTTCCCTTGAAGAATGACAACTGACAGTTGTTATTAGAGATAACAAAGTGTAGAGCTGGATGAACACAGCAGGCCGAGCAGGAAAGCTGATGTTTCGGGTCTTGACCCTTCTTCAGAATTTCTGAATGGCCTGCTGTGTTCATTCAGCTCTACACCTTGTTGTCTCAGATTCTCCAGCATCAGCAGGTCCTACTATCTCTGATAGTTGTTAATTGCTTTGTCCCCCATTGGCTACACCTGAACCCTGTTTCCTTCATACGTGGTTTGATGCTTGGGGAGGTGATGGCCTAGTGGTATTATCGCTAGACTATTAATCTAGAGACCTAGGTAACGTTCTGGGTGAAATAATTCCAAAGAGGCTGGTATCCTGTCTCCAAGTCACCCTTTATTTACACTTGGAAAGTCCTTGACACTGAACCAACTTCCTCAGAGCCAGCCCTCAGAGTGAACAGAACATCTGACTCTCCTGTTCTTATCTGTCAGCCAGGGCTCCCTGATTGGACCAGGTTACCAGCCCCAATCAGGGAAGTCATATTCTGTAAGGTCCACCTGGCTGACCTTGTTACAGTCACCACAATCAGGGGACCATACTGTAGATAGGTAGAAATTGAATTCATTTTTTTTGAAAGAAGTCTGAAATTAAGAATCTAATGATGGCAATGAAACTGTTATTGACTGTTGGACAATATCTGGATCATTAACTTCCTTTAGGGAAGGAAACTGCCAGTCTGTATGTGACTCCAGACCCACAACAATGTGGTTTACTCTTGACTGCTATCTGGGCATTTTGGGATGGGCAATAAATACCAAACGGATGGCACCCAAGTTCTGTGAGTAAGGAAACGGGCTAACACACGTTCCATTGAGTTGGCCAGGCTTTCTGAGCGCTGGGGGCATCGCACTCACCACTTCATTTCCTTTTCAGAGCGCCGCACAGGAGATTGGCGAGGAAACCGAAGATGGTGCCATCTACACAATAACACTCAGGAGGGTTCAGGTGCACCAGGCAGCAAGCAAAGGCCAGCGATGGCTGGGGGTAAGCAGCGAACGGACATTTATAACCGCGTAGAATCCCTCGGAGCACCGAGGGTGTCACCTCCCTGACATCCTCATGCCCCACTTTTCCATTTTATGTTCCTCGTAATCCCCGATTCCCATTACTGCCCTTTCGATGCTGTTGACACTGTTTTTGTCACACATTTTAACAGTAAGTCTTTAATAAATTTGAAGCTGGGGTAAGATATTATGGGGAAAAGACCGGGATGATCAACTATTTCCCCTGTTGGGGATTATAGGACTTGAGGGACATGGTCTGAGAATAGGAGAGATGTTGGCAAGCACTTCCATGCACAAAGGGTGGTAGAGGTTTGAAATTCTCTTCCACAATTGGTAGTTGATGCTTGATGCTTGTTAATTTTAAATCTGATAAATAAATTATTGTTAAGCAAAGGTGTTAAGAGATATGGGCCAAAGGCAAGTAAAAGGGGGTCAGGCACATCAGCCATGACCTCATTGAATGGTGGAACAGGCTCGAGGGGCTGAATGGCCTACTTCTGTTCCTGTAAGACCAGCGAAGAGCCTTCATTCCTGTAGCGCCTTGCACAGACGCAAGACCACGAAAGCACTTTCCAGCCAATCGAGCACTTCTTGGAATGTGAGCAACGTGGCACTGCATCTGTGTACAGCAAGATCCCAAAGGCAAGAAACCAAATTAACGTCCAGATAATCCATTTTTAGCTGTGTTTGAGGGACAAATCCTGCCCAGGATACCGGGAATAATGCCCGAGTGGGCAGATGGGACCTTGGTATGGCTCACCGCTAAGACATGGCACACCCCTACCCACAACAATGCAGCCGCCCTCTGTACTGAGCCAGAGTGGCAGGTTGGATTCTCTGTTCAACATCACCCATATGGTGCCTCCAGCATTTCACTAACCAATCCCGTTAGGCTGTAATGAACCAATTAGAGAGCTGCAGCAAGATTCAATCACTCTGCACCCGTGTTCGTGTGGGCACTGCCCTGCTGGGGGGAGGGACGGCTCAGCTGATGAGCTTCAGGAGTGGCAATGTTTACCATTTCCCATCCTTTACAAACCAACGTGAACTGCACTGTGTCAGCCCTGGCTCTGTGAAAACAGACTGTGCAGCTCGTTTACAGCTTCCACAACACTTGCCCCTCAGTACACTAGCATCCGGTGTGTGCGGTTTGTCACGCTGCACGGCTCCCTTTTTAGAGTTTAAAGGGAGCGCTGCTTGTGAATGGTCAGTGGCTGCACACCTCCACAGGAGCAGAGATACTCGGGGAATGCTGCACTGTCAGAGGCACCATCCTTCAGTTAAAATCCCAAACCAAGGCCCCGTCTGCCCTCTGTGATGGATGGAGAATATCTGAAGCAGTTCTTCCTGTTGGCTTGGCTGTCATTTTACCTGATTATCTGGTTCATTACTATAGTCGCTGTCTGTGCGTGTTTGCATTGTGCCTATTGTTTGACACATTTCCCTGTATTACAAGACTTCATAAAGTGTTCTTTAGGTGAGTTGTGATGTCCCCTCATTACCGCAGAAGCCACTCTGGATTAGTGCTGTCAGAACGGGTGACAAGCTCTTTTTTTTTTCTTCTATTATTTTGCCACTCCTCGGATAAACTTGTCTGAGTCATCAAGTATTCAGAATGTTTTGTTGTTGATGGTACTCAGCAACAATGGAGCAGCTCACGTTGTACAGGACAGCTTGAACAGCAGAGATAACAACAGGGTGTTCAGTTTGTTCACTTGGCACAGAGTGTTCTCCCTGAAGTGCCTCCCTCCAGAGTGACCATATTCTGCCTTTCCTTCTCATCTTCTCTCCTCCCCCACCCCCACCCCTTCCCCCACTCACAGGTAGACAGCGAACCTGCCATGAACCTGTACGAAACGTGCAAAGTGCGGACCATCAAGGCTGGGACGCTGGAGAAACTGGTGGAATACCTGGTCTCTGCCTTCAAAGGCAATGACTCCACCTATGTCACCATCTTCCTGTGCACCTACCGCGCCTTCGCCTCAACCAAACAAGTGTTAGACCTGCTGCTGAACAGGTAAAAGGGGAACCCAGAGGTGGGACCTCCAATAGCGGACAGGCTGGGGTTTCCCACTCGTTAGAGGCACAAGGGGCCAAGGTGGGGAGTGACCTGACAGCGAGGTCTTTTAAGAGGACAAAAAGGGTTCCCCCAGGGATCTATCCAAAGATTGTCGCCACTTGCCAGGAAGAGCAAAACTGTCAGCCGCTAGTCGCTGGTCAGCCCAAGTGTCTTTACCCAGTGAGTGGGTAGAATTCACTTCCACTGGGCGTGGTTGAGGTGAATACCGTAGACACAATAAAGTTAAACTCTAAACGCTTGAACGAAAGTGGGAGGAGACAGGTGTGGGGCCAAATAGCCTGTTTCTGTGCTGTTCGTTCAAGGTGACCAGCTGATGCCACCAAGGGGTTACTCATTGGGTGGATAGGACAATGGGAGGTTAGTGGTTCCTGAAGCCACGTGTGGAAGTATAGTCAGCAAGGAGTTGTGTGCTATTCACTGGCCCTTGAGCTCATCTAGGATTGACCAGGTTCTCTCATGAAACAAGGTGAATTGGGCAAGTTATCGTATGCTGGTCCCCATTCCTGACCAACTGACCCAGTCCACACAATGGACCAGGTTTTTGAGACCCTTGGGATCTGAGTAGCACAGTCCCACAACAACTGGCCCGACACAAACCATGACAGACCGAAGGTGGGACCTTTAGGATAGGACAGCACAACCACCAACTTTGTAGACCTACAAAGCCCCTGAATTGATGGCTCCTGATTTGCAGTGTGATGCAGGAGGCTGGGCCTATATTCTCGAGAGTTTAGAACAATGAGAGGTGATATCATTGCGGCAGACCGACTCCTTTCACAACTCAACAGGAAGGATGTTTTCCTGGGCCGGAACATTCCAGAAACAGGGCACACAGTCTCAGAGTAACAAGTAAGCAATGTAGGACTGAGATGAGGAGGAATTCCTTCACTCAGAGGGTGGTGAGTCTTTAGCTCAGAGGGTGGCAGAAGCGTCAGTCACTGAGTGTGGTCAAGGTGGAGATCAACAGATTTCTAAAAATATCAAGGGATGTGGGGATAGTGCAGGAAAATGTTGTCAAGGCAGAGGGTCAGCTAGGATCTAGCACAATGGCAGAGTGGTTCAAGGGGCTGAATGGCCTACTCCCATTTCTCTGAACCCATTTCTCTCATTGTTCTGATTTCTCTCGTACCTTTTACAGATATGGAAACTTGCACCAAATGAATGGAGATGTATCCAAGCTTACACCAGATGACAGGCTGGAATTGAAAAAGTAAGAGCATCTTCCTGCTGCTGAGCCCTTGTGACTCACTGATACCCAGAAGGTTGAGTAGCCACATTCTTAAAGGAACAATGCCTCCAAATGGGGATCATTTTTCACAGGAAGGCTGGCTCATCTTCCTTGGTGATGGTAGCTCCCACTCATTTTCTCTGTGGCAGGGGAACCAGGCAGTAATCTCAGAAGCCATTTGGATCTTTTGTTGGTAAATAAAGGTAGCATGACGTCGCAGAAATAGGGCTATGACCATTGCTGGGCAGAAAGGAAACTCTGCCAGGTCTTCCTCTGGGATCTATCGGGATGTATTAAGAGTAGACAGTAGTTACTCTGTGAAAGGGAACGCAACAATGAACTACATGAGCTGCCCCTATCCCCATCTGGATCCATGTGACCTGCCCAGTCTCTCATCTGTCACCTCTAAGTAGGAGCCCTGGGAGCCGTGTTCTTTGTTTAGTTTGGCGGAAAACATTTGTAGAGTGTTTACCAACCCCAATCCCTTTCTTTCAGAACCATTTCATCGATCCTGGGAGCCTGGCTCGATCAGTATTCTGAAGATTTCCGGAAACCACCGGATTACTCCTGCCTGAAGCATCTCTACGCCTACATCCGTCAGATGTTCCCTGGATCAGACCTGCAGCGTCGTGCTCAAGTCCTCCTTGGCACGTTCCAAAGGCACAAGGAAGCAGAACCTGATCAGGATGGTATGGCACCCCTGACTCAAACCCCTTCTCCCCCCCCCCCCCCCCCCCCAAACCAAACCCACAACCTACTGACTCCAGCTGCTCAGTCGGTAGCACATTCTTCTGCAAGTCGCAAAGTTCTGAGCTCCAGCCCTGCTCCAGGGCTTGTGACCTTCCACTCCCGCATGGAGGGGAAGACCTTAAACCCCAGCCCTATCTGCCTGCTCAGGTGGCTGTAAGAAATCCCAAGACTGCTATTTTGAAGAAGTTCAGCACAATTATCACAACAGGGCACAGAGGGAAAATTGTAGGGGAAACAAACAAAAACATTGACAAGGTTAAAAGCCTTTGTCCTCGCCTGTGTGAATGTAAACAAGTTCCTTCTGTTGTTGTAAATGTCCTACCAGTAACTCACTGTTTCAGAATGTTAATACGCAGTATATCTACACATGGTTAGTCAGTGGTCACACTCTGTGTTTCTGGCTTCTTAGATTGCAGTGTCACCCCAACCACTGGCCGAAGCAAGTTGCACTTATATAGCAATTGTAACAGAATGAAATGTCCCAGAAATAGCATCATCAAACCAGACTTGGCTACACATTAGAGTTTAAGGTTTTAAAGATTATCCTCAAGAAGGAGTGGGGGTTAGCCGAGGAGTGAATGTGTGTGAGTCTTTTAATATGTGTGTGAGAGAAAGGGGTAATTGTAACACTTTTATGTATGTGTCTAAAAGGGGTAATTGTAGTGTGTGTGTGTGTGTGTTAATTGTAACTCTAGTTAACCCCACTGGTTGTGTCATTCCAGCACCTGATCACAGTAGCTGCACCTACACACTGGTGGAGGAGAATGGGTTTGAAGATGAAAAGCCTGATTTCCTCTCGTTCATTGCAAGTGTGGTGGCCGAGCAGTTTACATTAATGGATGCGGTGAGTGATGCATCACACTTCGGAATTATTCTGTTGCGAAAACACTTGAACGATCGAATGTAATAACCAGCCAGCACTTCCTTCCTGCACCCTCAGAAAGGTTTCTTATCCTCTGTCTTCGATTCATTCCGGTCACATTATGTTGCCACTATCTAAACGAGCTCTCGGCAGTTCTGTTATTTTCCGCTCCATGGTTTAAGTTCAGTTCTGGTTGGTTTCCACAGCAACAACTTTCTACAGAGGAAACCCCCCAGTGCTTTTCCTGAGTGAATGTTTTCACTTTATGACTCTGTTTGCTGGAAAACACGAGGTGGACTTATAGAACATAGAACATAGAACAGTACAGCGCAGTACAGGCCCTTCGGCCCACGATGTCGTGCCGAACTTTTACCCAAAACCTAAGGTCTATCTAACCTCCACCACTACCTTATACTATCATCCATATGCCTATCTAATAGCTGCTTAAATGCCCCTAATGAGGCCGACTCCACTACCCTCTCCGGCAATGCATCCCACGCCCCTACCACTCTCTGAGTAAAGAACCTACCTCTGACGTCTCCCCTATATCTACCTCCTTTCACTTTAAAACTATGTCCCCTCCTAAAAGCTACCTTCACCCTAGGAAAAAGTCTCTGGCTGTCTACTCTATCTATACCTCTGATCGTTTTGTACACCTTAGAAAAGAATCATATGTCAGCATAGCCTTGGTGAGTCAAAGGGCCTGTTCCTGTGTTGTACTTTGTTCTCTTTGTTCACCGTACTCCAGTGTGTCATGACAACTGGTACAAAGTAAGATGGTTGTGGTTGTAGAGGATGTTTACTGATCATTGCATGATCATTGCACATTTGTAGCAAGACCTGGACAATATCCACATTTGGGCTATCAAGTAACATTTGCGCCACACACAAGTGCTAGGAAATGACCATCTACAACAAGAGAGAATCAAACCATCTTCCGTTGATATTCAATGACATTACACTGCTCAATCCCTCATTATCAACATGCTGGATGGTATCATTGACCTGATCTGGACTAGCCACGTCAATAGTGTGGCTACAAGAGCAGATCGGAAGTTAGAAATCCTGCAGTGAGTAACTCACCCCCTGATTCCCCAAAGTCTATCCACTATCAACAAGGCACAAATCAGGAGTGTGATGGAATACTCACCTGGATGAGGGCAGCCCCAACAACACGCAAGAAACTTGACACAATTCAGGACAAAGCAGCTCATTTGGTTGATGCCACATCCACAAACATTCATTCCCTCCACCATCCACATTCATTAACAGCAGTGCTTACTATCTAGTAGATGTACTGCAGAAATTCACCAAGTTTTGTTTAGCTGCACCTTCCAAACCCACGCCCATCTCGAAAGACATTTGCAGCAGATACATGGGAACACCACTTCCTGCAAGTTTCCCTTCAGGCCACTCACAATCCGGACTTGGAAATATATCGCCGTTCCTTCACTGCTACTGGGTGAAAGTCCTGGAATTTCCTCCATAACAGCAATGTGGAAGTACCTTAACCTAAAGTCTTCACTGACAATTGGCAGTACGCACCAGTTTTATTCCAAATTTCACAATTGTATTGAATTCAAAATTCTCATCAGCCAAGTTGGGATTCAAGAATATTCACCTGGGCCAGAGCTTCCCATTTGGTGCTTTGCCCTCTGGGAATATCCTGAGGTGAAAGAACTCTGACTTTTTTGCATAGGGTGAGCTTCAGAGCCATATTTGTGATGAGGTGCAGCAGACCTTAGGCTGGGACATTGCTCCAACATAAAGGATCAAATCTGAGGAACAGGCAAAGGCCATTCAGCCCTCCAGCCTGTTCTACTTTAGGGTCAGAATGCTCTTTAAATTATTGTTTAATCAGAATATTAATCAAACAGATTTGTTTGTGGAACAAATGTGATGGAAGATGCTCAGTTTGTCCTGCTGGGTGAAGCTGGAAAACACTCAAGAACTTAATCCCATCCAGGACAAAGCAGCCCATTTCAGTAACACCCCATCTATCACCTTTGACATTCACTTCCTCCATTGCCAATGCTCACTGTCAGCAATGTGTACCTTCTACTAGATGCATTGCAGTCATTTGCCAAGGCTCCTTCAACAGCACTTTCCAAACCCATGAGCTGTTCCACGTGGAAGGACAAGATACTTGGGAACACCACCTGCTGTGAGTTCCTGTTCAAGCCATTCCCCATCCTGGACTCTTGACGATATAGAGCCATGGAAATATACAGCACAGAAACAGACCTTTTGGTCCAACTCGTCCATGCCGAGCACATATCCTATATAAATCTAGTCCCATTTGCCAGCATTTGGCCCATATCCCTCTTAAACCCTTCCTATTCATGTACCCATCCAGATGCCTTTTGAATGCTGTAATTGCACCAGCCCCCACCACATCCTCTGGCAGCTCATTCCATACACACACCACCCTCTGTGTGGAAAAAGTTGCCCCTTAGGTCCTTTTTTTTAAATATCTTTCCTTTCTCTCACCTTAAACCTATGCTTTCTAGTTTTGGACTCCCCTACCCTGGGGAAAAGACCTTGTCTATTTACCCTATCCATGCCACTCCTGGTTTTATAAACCTCTATAAGGTCACACCTCAGCCTCTGACACTCCAGGGAAAGTAGCCCAAGCTATTCAGCTTCTCCCTATAGCTCGAACCCTCCAACCCTGGCAACGTCCTTGTAAATCTTTTCTGATCCCTTTCTAGTTTCACAACATCCTTCCTATTAGCAGGGAGACCAGAATTTCACGCAATACTCCAAAAGTGGCCAAACCAATTGTCCTGTCCCAAGTCCAGTACTCCATGCACTGACCAATAATGTTGACTGTTCATTCATTGTCACCGGAACTCCCTTCCCTAGCTACCGAATGGATGTGCCAACCCCACTTGGAGCTGCAGCTCACCACTAACATTCCCTCTACACTCAGCATGTGTGCAGCTGCATCAATGGTCTGTGCATGGCGAGTGATGTCAGCTCACAATTAACTTCCAGTTCCCGAAGTCACTGCAGCACACAGGCCTGCAAGGTGAAGCCAGAAGAAAAATTAGAGAGAGTGCTGGTCACCACCAGCTTCTCCAGTGAAGTTGGTGAGAGGTGGTAAATACTGGCCTAGCCAGAGATGCCCATGTGCTCAGACTGAATGAAAATAAACCCATTTCTGAGGTATCTATGTTGCAAGGATGTCCATTTATGAGATTCGATTTCTGTGTTACAGGAATTGTTCAAGAAAGTTGTTCCATATCACTGCCTAGGAAGCATTTGGTCCCAGAGAGACAAGAAGGGGAAGGAGCATCTGGCGCCCACGATCCGCGCAACGGTCACACAGTTTAACAGAGTCACAAACTGTGTCATTGCAACCTGTCTGAGCGACAAGACTCTGAAACCCCAGCAGAGAGCTAAGATCATCGAGAGGTGGATTGAGGTGGCCAGGGTAAGTCCATCAGAAACTGGACCTGCTCAATGGGAATGCACGGAGTGAGAGGCTGAGGCTTAATTCATCAGAGGAGGAATGGATGAACACAGCAGGCCAAGCAGCATCAGACGAGCAGGAAGGCTAAGTGTCTGGTCACGTGGCCCAATATATCCTGTGTGGCTCGGTGTTACGTTTTGCTTTATAAAGTTCTTGTAAAGCACTCTGGGGTGTTTTGCGACTTTTAAAAGTGCTCCATAAATATAAGTTGTTGTTGTTGGCTGGGTTACCAAGGGAGGGAAAACTGTGAAGGTGTCAGTGGGGTCTCCTAAAATTGGGCAGTGGTCAAACCCCAGGAGGCTGGTGGGTTGCCGCCTCTGTGAATGTATTCCTGGAGGTTTCATCACGTGACTACCAGCCTCCCATGCTATTGGCTGTCGGACACGAGGCACTGCCTTGGTACAGGCTAATCAGAAAGTAAAAGGCTCACCTTTGCCTGTTTGGATGCTTCTTGGCTCGTAGATCAAACAGCCCCTTTCCCCTGATGTCCGATCATTTCTACGAGGAATAAGCGACAGAGAAAGTGAGAAGAGGGTGACATTTATTTTTAAGACTCCCAGTGACTTCCATCCAGATGTTTATTCAATGTCCAGGCGATTAATCTTCACTTCCTGGAGACTTTAGGACAGTTCTGAAGGGCGGCCAGTCCGAGAGGGAGCTGTCTATTTGGTGAGCAGCTGGACGATGCTGGAGTGGAAGATTTAAGTAAAAGAAGCTCCTTGAAAAACAGTATGACGTGACACCATTACTGGATTAATGATCTAGAACCTAAGCTTAATGTTCTGGATTCAAATCTCAACATGGCAGATGGTGAAATGTGAATTCAGTAAAAATTGTCAAGATAGCCCCCATCGGTTCACTGCTGTCATTTCATAGAATCCCTACAGTGTGGAAGCAGGCCATTCAACCCATGTCCACACCAACCCTCCGAAGAGCATTCCTCCCAGAGCCAACCCTATCACAGTAACCTTGCATTTCCCATGGCTAACCCACCCAGCTTGCACATTCAGGACACTACAGGCAATTTAACATGGCCAGTCCACCTGACCTGCACATCTTTGGACTGTGGGAGGAAACCAGAGCACCCAGAGGTAATCCATGCAGACACAGGGAGAATGCGCAAACTCCACACAGACAGTTGCCCAAGGGTAGGATCGAACCTGGGTCCCTGGAGCTGTGAGGCAGCAGTGCTAACCACTGACACACCATGTCCTTCATGTACTGTCTCTGAAGTGGCTGTTTAGAGGCTCAGGTCTATGATCATGGACTCAAATCCTACTGTGGTAGAACTTGCGTTCATTTCATTAATAAAGGGAAAAAAATGTGGAATTGGAAGTTAATCTCAATGGTGAACACAAAACTATCATTAATTGTTTCAAAACGCATCTGATTCACCAATATCCTTCTCGGGAAAGAAATCTGCCATTCTTACCCAGTTATGACCTACATGTGACTCTAGACCCAAAGCAATGGAGTTGCCTCTGAACTGCTCCCTGAGGAATTAGGATAGGCCAATAAATGTTGGGCTAGCCAGTGGCACCTCCATCCCATGAAGAAATATTTTTTTTTTATAAAACACTGAGTTTAAAACCTTGCTCCCTATCAGCTGTTTTTGTTTCTCTTTACAACAGGAATGCAGAATCTTCAAAAACTTCTCCTCGTTACGAGCCATTCTCTCTGCCTTACAGTGCAACTCTGTTCACAGGCTGAAGAAGAGTTGGGATGAAGTGTCAAGGTAGGAACGAGACATAGACATAGTTTCCTTCGTTGTTCTCTTTTTCTTATTCTGTTACTTGGTGTTTGTTCTTCATTTGGGAGGAGCTGATGGTTTTTTGATTGTCTCTTTATAGGGATATGCTGCTGAAACCCTCATTCTGCTCACATTAACTCTCAATCTAAGATGGTGGCATAGTGGTGATGTCTCTGGGGGTTGGGGGTGGGGTGACCATTTCGAAGCTCAGGGCTTCAGATCTGACCATGGTAAACCAGAATTCATTTAATTAGTAAAGGAAAAGAAATGTGGAATTGAAACTTGATCTCCATAATGGTGACCACAAAACTATCTGAGGAAGGGTCACTCGATCTAAAACATTAACTCTGATTTCTCTCCACAGATGCTGCCAAATCTGCTGAGCTTTTCCGGCAATTTCTGTTTTTATTGTGACAAAGCTATCATTAATTGTTTCAAAACCTATCTGATTCACCAATATCCTTTCCAGAAGGAAATTTGCCATTCTTACCCAGTCCTGACCTACATGTGACTCACAGACCCGCAGCAATGGGAATAGCTCATAGCTGACCCCTGAACTGGTTTAGCAAGCCATTCTGTTCAAGGAATATTAGTGATGGGCACGTCCCACGAAAGTATAAGAACAGATAACCCGATTAGTTCAGTGCTGTCTTGGGTGTCCTACCATTTTCCACCCTCGATTAAAATCAAGCTTCTTGCAAAACCTGTTGCCCATAACCCAACTTGTACCTATTATCCCTGTGCTCACTGACCTACATCCCTAGCACGAAGTGCCTGCATTTTCAATCACATCTGAACATGGTCTCACCCTCCCTAAGTCCGCGATGCTGCCCAGCCCTACAACTCTGTGAAATCTCTGTGCTCCTTCGGTTTCTGCCTCTTGTGCATCCCTGATTTCCAATCTCTGCAGCATCATTGACGATCCATTCAGCCTTTTGGCCCCTAAGCTCTGGAAACAACTTCCTAAATCTCTCCAATTCTATCTAGTCACCCTGATATAGGAAGGATATTATTAAGCTAGAGAGGGTTGAGAAGAGATTTACCAGGATGTTGCCAAGTATGGAAGGTTTGAGTTATAAAGGAAAGCTGGATAGGCTGAGACTTTTTTCACTGGAGTGTAGGAAACCGAGGGCTAACCTTATATAAGTTTATAAAATCATGAGGGGTATAGATAGGGTTAATGATAGGTGTCTTTTCTCTAGGGTGGGGGATTTCAAGACTAGAGGGCGTATTTTTAAGGTGAGAGGCAAGAGATTTAAAGAAGATGAGGGGCATATCTTTTACACAGAGGGTGGTTTGCATGTGGAGTGAACGTCCTGAGGAAGCGGTGGATGAGAGCACAATTACAACATTTAAAAGACATTTAGATAAGTCCATGAATAGGAAAGGTTTGGAGGGATATGGGCCAGGAGCAGGCAGGTGGGACTAATCTGGTTGGAATTATGGTCAGCATGGACTGGTTGGTTCGAAGGGTCTGTTTCTGTGCTCAATAACTCTATCGCCTTAAAATGTCTCTCCAAGCGAACATTTAGCCACCTGCCCTAACATTTCTCCATGCGACGTGATTCTAATTGCTCTTTGATAATGTTACTGTGAAGCTGCCTGAGACACTGCTGTACCTTTTTAAAGATGCTACATGAATGCAGGCGTTTGTTGTGGTTCATTTTGTCTCGTTCTTTGCGTGACTGAGCATTCTTGCCATGTGAATGGAACATCTCAGCTAAGCCTTATCTTGGTTCCTGGTTAATATCGAACCCTACCCAGAGCCTGAGAGTGTGATATGCAACCTTAGCACCCTGCCTGCTGCCTGTGCTGATAGCAGCTAACACAGCCAAGACATCGTGAGCTTCCATACCTGTGATGTTCGATGCTAACCAGTTACTGTCTTTAAATACTGGACCACCTTGGAAACTTTGATTCATTGATAGCTGCAACACTTTGGATTTTTTTGATTCTTTCCCACAGAAACAATCTAGATAAATCGTCAATTTACAGCTTAATACATTCATACATTCAAAGAAAGTCTACCACACATGTGCTTTATAGTGCGCTATCTAGATAGCGGAAATTCTGGTCAGGTTTTAATTACTCCCTGTCGCGTGGGAACTAAGGACCCTGCTGGTTGTCCAGTTGTGGTGTTGTCAGACTGGGATTCGACCCTGTGTCTGACTCTCTCTGCGACACCAGTCATGTGCTGTTTGGGACCCCATTGGTTTGGCTTGTATTCGCTAAAGTTCAAAGCAATAAGGGAAGGACGTTTATTCCCTACATATTGCATGCAAATCTTTGTTAACTGGTGAAGAAGCCAGAGATTTAATTTTTTTAGTGGAATACAGGGATTTGTACTCGCACAGTTACCTTGGATCAATAATCATTAATCTATTGTTCAGGAATCCATTAAATGTGTTACATGTAATGCTGTACAGTAATGGGCAAGGATACACTTTTTCCATTTGTTAGTTCTCCAGCCGACCACAAATATAAACTCAATAATGCAGTGGACAAGTCAGAGATAGCTCTGTCCTGTTTTGTGAGTATTCCAGCCTTCATCCCTGGAATAAGAATTTGGTCTGTTCTGATCATCTGTCTTTCAGTGAGTATAGGTAACTGCACCACTGTTATTGGTTTTCTTGAGAGAATCGTGTGTCTTTTTATTTCCCCTAACATTTGTGCCTTTGGTTGGAATTGCACAGAGAGAACATCCGGATATTCCAGGAATTGTCAGAAATCTTCTCCGACGACAACAACCACTCTTTGAGCCGTGAGCTCCTCATCAAGGTAAGAGCTGTCTGCTGGTCTTATGAACCGGTGCAGGGGGAGGTGTTAGCTGGTCACTGCTTCACTCAAGGGGCTATGCACCACATGTGGGAGCTGATGATGGGGCCGAGGGAGAGGTGCTGCAGCTCTCTGTTACCGTGTAAACACACAGACACACACACTCTGGGACATTTTAGCTTGTAAAAGGCAGCTGTTGTGGTTAAACTTGATAGGTTACTTGTGTCAGAAGGGATGGTCTTTGGTATAAAATAAGTTTACAAACAAACAAGAAACAAGAGTAGGCCACTCAGCCCTTTTTAAGCCATGCTCTACCATTCAGCAAGACCGTGGCTGATCTGATTTTAACCTCAACTCCACATTGCTGCGTACCCCCAATAATCTTTCATCCCCTTGGTCATCAAGACCCCTGCCTTTAAAAATATTTAAAGATTCTACATCCACTGCCTTTTGAATCTCAATCTCAATCCTGAGAGAAAAAGAAATGTTTCATTTGAGAGTCTGTTTTAAATGGGCACCCCCTTATTTTTAAACAGTGGCCCCTTAACAATCTGCTTAACAATGTTAAACTGTAGCCCCTAAGCGTTAAACTTTGGCCCCTTAACAAACTTACCAAAGAAGATTGAAAGCATTTGGGCATCTGAAGCACTTTCAACAATAAAACCAGTTTGCTGGAAGCCTGATGGTACTGAGTGGCTGATTTTAAAGTGTTGCATAAGAGCTGTGATGTGGTCAGGTGACAATCTCTCGATTTCTTGGAAACAGAGTTTTGGTCAGTATTTTTGTGCTGGTAGAGTGGAGACCAAATGACAGGATGTGGTCATACGCTCAGTAGTTAACCAGTGGTATTTTCAAACATGCCTCTGAGCTCTTGCAGACACCTCTCTCTCTCTCTCTGTCTCTGAGCTTGCACTCGGAAAGCTGGCCGGCCAATTGGCTGAGTATCACGCACAGGCTCGCTGATGGGAGTTTTGCTGAAGGCGGAGAAGTTGAGAACTGGCGGCATGTTCCCGGTAAAACCCTGGTGATTCCAGGCATACGGCTGTTTACAACATGCCTGTTTTCTTTTAAAGAGATTATTATTTGAGATAACAAGGTGTGGAGCTGTAGGAACACAGCAGGCCAGGCAGCATCAGAGGAGCAGGAAAGCTGACGTTTCGGGTCTGGACCCTTCTTCAGAAAACGAAGAAAATTTTGAGATTGATTTTAATGCTCTTTTCTCCCCTACGCAACTCCCCAAAACCACCTACCCCCCACGTGGGCCTCATCACTTGATTAACTTGGCTAACAGTGAGTTTGCAAGCTCAGCGGAGATGACACTTGTACTGCAATCTCCAAATGTTTGGGTTAGCGGTGGAAAGGAGGCTTGACCATCATGCACTGTTGGACTTGTTGGGCCGAATGGCCTGTTTCCACTCTGAGGGATTCTATGTCTATGACACTGCTTGAAGAGGCGGGAAGAGCACAGCATCTCGAGGCAGGGGTTGGGGGAGGAATAGGAAATGAAGAAGGTACTTAGTGGCTTCTTGAGTGTGATTCACACTCACTCACTCACTCACTCCTTCATCTCTGATCACACACCAAGGCGGAACGCTAACAGGAAAACGTACAAGGAGTGTTTCCTGGAGCTCAGTGGTATGACGGTTTGGAGAAGCTGGGACTGTTCTCCAGCTGAGAGGAGATTTGGTCAAGGTGTTCAAAATCGTGAGGGTCTGGACAGAGTAGTTAGGGAAAAATTGTTCGTATTGGCCAAAGTGTGGAGAATCTGAAGACAGCGATCTGAGGTGATTGGCAGATCCACCAGCGGCAGCATAAGGAAAGGCTTGATGTGTCTCAGAGGACCAGAGGGCTGCTGTGTTGAGAGAGAAAGAGAGAGAGAGGTACCTGGTGGTGGTTTAACCTGACAGTCACCACTGCCTCAGGTTAGGGCAGAGGTTCAACAGTGCAGTTAGCTCAGATGGCTGAGCAGCTGATCTGCAATGCAGAGTGACGCCAACAGCGTGAGCTCGATTCCTGTCACCGACTGAGGTTACATCAGACTTTATTATGCAATAAGTGGTTGGGATCTGGAATGCATTTCCTGAGACTGTGGTGGAGACTGACCCAATCAAGGTGTTCGAAAGGGAATTAGATAATTATCTGATTTGGAAGTAAGTTACTGGGAAAATGTGGGGGAGTGGGACTAGCTGAGTTTCTCTTGCAGAGATGGTAGAGACAGGATGGGTTCAATGGTTCTCTTTGCTGTATCTACTCCATGATTTTGTGTCTTTTTTCATTCACGGGATATGGGTGTTGCTGGCTAGGTCCATTCTTAATTACCCTCGAGAAGGAAGAGGTGAACGTCCTACTCGAACAGCTCATTCCCTGTGGGGTAGGGACACTCACAGCATGGTTAGGAAAGGATCTGACCCAGCAACAGTGAAGAATCAGTGAAATATTTCCATGTCAGGAGAGTGTGTTTTCGAGGGGCTGGCGTTCCCATCCATCTGCTGTCCTCTATAATCTTCGAAAGATTCCGTTTTCAGGGTTTTAGGGGTAAAGAAATTGAGCATAGGATAGGTCAAGTGGCCTCCTACAGAGCTGTAAGTCTCTCTGATCCACAGCAGCTGGGTGGTTGGGGAGCTAAAGGTGTGTGTGTGTGTGTGTGTGTGTGTGTGTGTGTGTGTGTGTGTGAGAGTGAAACAGAGTGAGACTATGTGCCAGAAGTATTGCTGTCCTGCTCTCCACAATCACAAACTGCCCAGAATCCCAAGTGAGGATCCCAGAGTTTCTCACTGAGCTGAGTGACAGCACACAGCACCCGCAGTCTTTCTGTAGGGACGGGAGAAGAACACAAGGTGGGTCAGGTGGGGGGGAGAAAGAAGGGGAAAGGGGGAATTTCTTGCCAGCTTACAAAAAAAAATCTGTAAAAAAGTTTGACCACCATCTTTGTGAAATAATATCAAAAGAGAAAAGTTAGGTAAACATTTTCTGATGCTCGTGAGAACTGTGATGATGTTTGGCATCTTCTCTCTGTAGCTAAGGAAGATAGAAAAGTAAAGCACGGGAACAGGCCCTTCGGCCCACCATGTCTGTGCTGACCATGTTGCCTTCATTCTAAACTGATCCCACCTGCCTGCACATGGTCTGTATCCCTCTATTCCCTGCCTGTCCATGTGTTTGTCTAAATGCCTCTTAAACATTGCCATCTTATCTGTTTCTACGACCTCCCCTGGCTGTGTGTTTCAGGCCTTCTGTTCAACTGAACTGTTAAGCAGAGTTGAAGCCCTTGTTATAACATCTCTTGTGTACATAAGACATAGCAGCAAGTATAGGCCATTCGGCCCCTCAAATATCCTCCACCATCCAATAAGAACACAGCTGATCTGTTTGTGGCCTTAATCCCACTTTTCTGCCTGCATCCTCCACTCCCATGATCCTTGACTTCATTATCAGTCAAAACTGTCTCTCTTAAGTCTTGAATGTTGATATCCCAGCCTCCACTGCTCCGTGGAAAAGAGACTAGTCACCCTTTTAACGGAGGACATTCCTCCTCATCCTATCTTCAATGGCACCTTCCACCTTCCACACGCCCCCCCCCCCCCCCC